CGTAACTGCGGATCCGACATAAGTCGGATCCGCGTAACTTGGGGACTGCCTGTACAGTAAATTTGCTAGGATTTTAATGTCTACTGAACAAAAGGGGCTACATTTCTGTAAAGGTATGTCTACACTGCAAAGTTAATTCGAAATAACAGCTATTATTTTGAATTAACTTTAAAAGCGTCTATACATGCAAATCGCTATTTTGAAATTAATTCGAAATAGCGGAGCGCTTAATTTGAATTGGTAAACCTCATTCTATGAGGAGTAACTCCAAATTCGAAATAGCTAATTCGAAATAAGTGCTGTGTAGACTCTTAATTTGAATTAGCTGGCCTCAAGCCCTTTCAAGTTTCCCCTGGTGGCCACTCTGGGCCAAACCAGGAAAACTCCTCACCTCTCCTCCAGCCCCGGAGCCCTTAAAGGGGTAAACTCTGGCCATGCTGCACGTGCCAGATCCAGGCCTGCCAGCAGTCTCTGCTCCTGATCCAATGGCCCCACTGTGAGCCAGGCAGCCAGTGCCTGCCAGTCGTCCCCCACTCCTTTTCAAAGATCACAGTAATGTTGGCTAGACACTGTCTACTGCAGAGAGCTTATGACTTAGGAGCAAGAAAGGGTGGTCTCTAGGACTATGTCTCCATAGCAGCGTTATTTCGGAGTAACTGACGTTATTCTGAAATAACATAGTCCGTGGCTACACGCAAGCCATTATTTTGATATAATGTTGAGCTGGAGGACATCTTACTCCGAATCCTGTAACCCTCATTGTACGAGAAGTAAGGGAAGCTGGGGGAAGAGCATTCTGTCTCGAAATAACTGATGTGTAGACAGTGCCAAAAGTCGAAATCAGCTATTTCGACTTAAGATGCACAATTAGCATAGCTCAAGTTACATAGCTTATTTCAAGTTTAGCCCTGCTGTGTAGATGTGTCCTAGCATAGTTGCTTCTAGTGCTACACGGGGCAGCTCCCCAACAGCGGCACACACCTGCCCCTATTTCTAGGCCCTGGACCACATACTGGGGGGCGGGATGGTCCGTGCCAGCTCAGAGGGCAGTGAGCCGGGAGCAGAGGGCCCTGACCAGGGCGCGGAGGAGGAGCCACCACGCCAGCAGGACTCCTGAGCAGTCTCAGGAGAGGAGTCAGCAGGGTCATCCGGGGAGGCCACACCATGTAAGTGCTGTCATTGTCCCCTTCCCCGGGGGGCGGGGGGGGGGCGCGCGGGAAGACCAGGTACTGCACGTGTGGCCCTTGCTTATCACGCATCACGCAGCAACCTGTGCATGTGTGAACATGTGCTGTGCCCCCCCCCCCAGGCAGGTGACTGCAGCTGCCTGCCACACAGGGGCCATAGCCTCATAGCCACACGCATGTGTGAAGAGACCTGACATGCTCCTGACCCCAGGGCAGGACACCGCAGTACGCCCTCCCTTCACAAGCCCCCTCTAACATCTCCCCCCACCTCACCCACACTATACACAGCACAGGGGCATGGGTGTGGTCTGGGGGAAGCTCCCACTCCCGGGGATAGTGAGACATTCTTACCATGGCCTCTGTGCAAGCATAGCAGCTCTGACAGTGCAGGGCACGGTCATCCTCACCTCACAGAGGATGGCTGGTCTTCACCCACTGTGTCCCAAGGGAGAACTGACCACTTCTCTTCTTTCTCCACAGCTGCACCAGGTGCACATGCAGGGTGCACCACCACACCCGGTACATGATCCCGCACCCAAGGGCTCCACAGGACGACCGCAACACGGCAGAGGTACCAAGAGCACCAGCTGGGGGCCCTGCGAGCTCTGACCCGCATCATGGAGCAGCAGGCACAGGAAGAATGGGAGTTCCAGAGGGAGCTGCTTGCCCAGGGTCATGCCATCTTTACCCATCTGCAGACCCTGGTGTAGAGCGTGCTGCCTCGTGCCGCTGCAGCACGTGCTACCCCCCCAGCTACCGTTCCTCTTCCCACTTCTTCTCCCCCTACCACCTCTCGGGCATGGGTGTGGTCTGGGGGAAGCTCCCACTCCCGGGGATAGTGAGACATTCTTACCATGGCCTCTGTGCAAGCATAGCAGCTCTGACAGTGCAGGGCACGGTCATCCTCACCTCACAGAGGATGGCTGGTCTTCACCCACTGTGTCCCAAGGGAGAACTGACCACTTCTCTTCTTTCTCCACAGCTGCACCAGGTGCACATGCAGGGTGCACCACCACACCCGGTACATGATCCCGCACCCAAGGGCTCCACAGGACGACCGCAACACGGCAGAGGTACCAAGAGCACCAGCTGGGGGCCCTGCGAGCTCTGACCCGCATCATGGAGCAGCAGGCACAGGAAGAATGGGAGTTCCAGAGGGAGCTGCTTGCCCAGGGTCATGCCATCTTTACCCATCTGCAGACCCTGGTGTAGAGCGTGCTGCCTCGTGCCGCTGCAGCACGTGCTACCCCCCCAGCTACCGTTCCTCTTCCCACTTCTTCTCCCCCTACCACCTCTCCCTCAACTTCCTCACCCTCCTCCTCAATCTCCACACTCCCCACCTCACCCTCCTCCCCATTCCCCCGGGGACGCCAAGGCCCCTGCACCCGCCGTGCTGGGAGACATGTGGCCCGACGAGACCCCTACCCCTGAGCTCTGAGCTTCCCCTCCTTCTTCCTCCCTTGCTTCCCCCTTCCTGCACCCAGTTTTCCCCCTCCCCTCTCCCATCCTCTCTTCTCCCGTCTCCCGCCTCCCTTCCCTTGTCTCCCCAGAGGCTCATCCCCCCGCTGTTTTGTTAAATAAATAGAGTTTCTATTTTTGAAAAAAAGTGTTATTTGTATTTGACATCAGGAGGGGTAAGTGGAAGGACTTGAAGGAGGAATGGGGCACAAGCACCCAGTGGGGCAGACCAAGGAGACAGTTAGTGCTCCTCGGGGCGGAAGCTCTCCCACAGGGCACGCTGGATAATGATAGCCTCCCAATGGACCTCCCAGATGGAATCCTGCAGCAAGTGCAGCCAGGCTGATGGCAACACATCCACAAGACACACCAGAGTTCCCAGGGCCATCTCTGGCTCCCTGTGGCAGAGTGCTGTGATGTCCCGAGTGAGGGCAGACAGAGCACGCAGAGACACAAATGATTTGCTGTCCCTCATCGAAGTAGACAAGCAAGCGGGGAAACCTGAGAACTGTCTGTTCGGGGTGGGGATAGGGTCCCTTTAAGCACAGACATCAGATAGCTTCAGGCAGCAGCCCCACACATTAAGTCCTAACCTAGTGCCCTGCCAGAACTGGTTCCAGCCAGCCTTAACTCCGATTCAGGGTCCACTCAGTGTGGATGCACTATTTTGAAATAGCAAAATAGCAATTCAAACTGCATTTTGTGTGTAGATGCATTAATTCGAATTAGCTTAATTCAAATTAACTATTTCGAATTAAAATAACTTGAATTAACGCTGTAGTGTAGACATACCCTAAGACAGTGGTCTCCAACATTTTTAAGCTTAAGATCACTTTTTGAATTTAAGTGCAATCCAAGGTCTACCTAAAACACAAATACCCTTGCTCTACCTCCTTTGTAGCCCTTCTCTGAGGCCCTGCCCCTGCTCACTCCATCCTCCCTCATTTTCGCCAGACTGGGGCAGAAGGTTGGGATGCAGGCACTGGTCTTGGATTAAGGGATTTGGAGTGTGAGAGGGGCTCTGAGCTGAGCCTGGGGGAAGCGGTTGGGGTGTCAGAGGGAGGTTCTAGGTGCAGGCTCTGGGAGGCCATTTGGATGCAGGGGTGCTCGGGGCAGGAGCTTGGGGTGCAGGAGGTGGTTCATGACTGGGACAGGGTTTTGGAATGTGAGCTCCAGCGGGGCACTGCTTACCTCAGGTGGCTCCTGAGTGGTGGTGCAGTGAGACTAAGGCAGGCTTATCCCAGCCCTGACTCTGTACCACTCCCAAAAACATCCAGCAAACTCCATCCCAAGTCCTGCTGTGCCCCCCTCTCTGCTCTGTGGAGATAGGATACAGGGTGGGAGAGGGGGCACCTTGACATGAGCACCCCTCCTTTCCTTCCCCTGCCCTGCATCAAAAGCAGGAGGCTCTTGAGGGGACAGCTCCAAGACAAAGGGCAGGAGATGCACAGCAGTGGGGGGAGAGGCAGCTGAAGTGCTAGTCCTCGATAGCCTCGTGGCTAAACCAGTTAGGATCACCTTTCAGAGGCTCAAAGATCTACAAGTAGATCCCGATCTACTGGTTGGTGACCACTGCTCTAAGAGATCTCTAATATTGCATCTGCCAAAACAGATTTGTAGATGAGAAACAGCAACTGGTTGGAGAGTAGTTATCAGTGGCTCACATTCAAACTAGAAGACATATTGAGTGTGGCCTACAGGGATCTGTTTGGAATTCTGTCCTATTCAATATCTTCATAAATTATTTCAATAATAGCATAGTGAGTACACTTGTTATAAATGTTGATGATGATTCTAAACTGTGGGCAGATGTACAAGCACTTTGGAGGGCAGGTTTGGAAGCAAGACCATTCCTGCATCCTCTCCCCCCCAAAATAAATCCTATTGGAACATAATACTTGCGTTTCTGTTTAAGAAAACCTGTCAGATTATATAACTGCCAAATTTACTTTAGTATTTTTAATTACACTTGAAAAGATTCATTACTCCAGTTAGAGGGCTGCATCCTCAGATAGTATACATAACCCCAGCTCCACAAATGTCTCTGTAGCTACTTCAGTTTACCCCAGTTAAGGGTCTACTAATTAGTGTCTTTGTTATACTAATTTCCGTTTTAGTAAATAAATTGTCAGGTGAATAAAATCTCTTTTACTTCTCTATATCCTTTTATCTAACAATTTTAATGAATTCAGTAATTACAAGTTTTTTGTTAAGATTGGCATCTTTAACATGTCAGCTATTAAAAATAATCTTTTAAATATAACAGTAATTCAAAAGACAAACTTTTTGAAAGCATTCATTTTGGATCACTTGTGCCATTCTTGAATTATTATTTTTCAACTTTTTCTATTTCAGGTAAATATGCTGAAGATATATTTGGTGAGCTTTTTAATGAAGCACACAGTTTCTCCTTCAGGGTTAACTCCTTACAAGAACGTGTGGACCGTTTATCTGTCAGTGTTACACAACTTGACCCAAAGGAAGAAGAATGTAAGTTTACTTCCATACATGACTCTGTGATTCTTACATTGAAGAGTATTTCCTTTGTGCTGTAAATACATGGATATGAGAAATGAAAAGAAGGATGATTTTATGGGTAAGACACAAGACTGAGAATTGTGAGACAGAGGTTCTCCTTCTAGTCCTGAAACAAAAGCCCTATGTGACTTTGAGCGTGTCTTTCAGCCAAATTTGCATACCTGTGTGCTTAACACCTATGACTTCCATTGATTTAGACTAAAGGTGCTAGAGGAGTATGACATGACATTGTTATTTATTATACAAGTTGTATCTTCCTAAACTGGGACTCTCTGGTCCGGAAACATCTGTGGTCTGGAGGCTGAGTCCAAGCCAGGGGACAGCAGGTCCAGAAGCAGCCAGCAGTAGGGTAGGATTGGAAGGCCAGTGACAGGGGACCTTCCCTGGTCTGGCAAATCCCTTCATTCAGGACCAGTCCAGTCCCGAGGGTGCCGGAGCAGCGAGGTCCAACCTGTATTTTCATTTTTATTCATGATTAAGTCAATTTCTGGGAGCAAATCTATAATCAGTTTTCACTGTCATGAGTGAGATTTATAAGCATGTGTATGAACAAGGTGTCAATAATTGATACATTGTAATTCTTTATTAAAAAGTATATAACTTTGGGCTCAGGGTGAAGTTTGAGCCGTAGCCATGTCTATCAAATGTTTTTTTCTCATATCTGATCCAGGATAGGCATAATGCTGTTCAGCTCTCCCTTCTCATTCTTCTCTCATCCGTCCTCTCTTCTGTCTGCTGACCGTCAGTGAATAACTCTTTGTTTAGCTGTGGAACTTTGACATTAGAAAATCAAGGATTAGCCTTTGCTACTTCTTTCCCTGCCTTTTTTTCCCCCCTTTGTGTCTTTTTTGTCCTCCTTTTTGAGATTTCGGATTTGTCAATTTTTCCCAGTCTCCTTGGTTTTTCCTGTCTCCTTTCACCCTTTTCTCTCCTTCTCCTTTCATGCATAATGCATACTGCAATTTTATTAAAGTACCTTAAAATAGTTAAATCTTTGTTATATTTTGCTAAAAAAATAAATATTTGATCTATATTTAGGAGTTATTTCTTTTTGCTTAAGTGAATTTAGTACTCAGGGAAGGTTCTGGATAACTATCCTAAGTTTTAAAACCCTCTAGTTTTCTAGTCTTGGGTTTCAAGACTTAGTCATGAGATTTGAAATCTATCTAACAGTCCAAAATAACTGAACCTTTTGAAGAGAGCAGATCATTTAACTTGTGAAGGTACATAGATAGTTCTCAATTACCAAGGTTTTTTTTTTTTTTTTTTACCAAATAAAAAATACCTAACAGCTAAGGCCATAACTATGTAGCAAAGAAAGATGGGTGAATATAAATCTGTCATAATCACATCTTTCAAAGAACAAGAATGACCGTTAAGTAATTTCGTTTTCTCCATAGCTTTGTCTACTGTAGCAGGCTCCACAGTTATAATTCTCTATTTATGAAAGCAACAGTGGAAGCTGTAGTGTCAACAGGGTTGTTTCACTCCTACATCATTAACCCTACTAGGAATCAAAGGTTGAGGGTTCTGTGACTGTTTCTGTCATTGATTTCCCGTACATGGTTAAAACTTATATTCCCTGTCTATACAGGCAGTCCCCGGGTTACGTACAAGATAGGGACTGTAGGTTTGTTCTTAAGTTGAATCTGTATGTAAGTTGGAACTGGTGTCCAGATTCAGCCGCTGCTGAAACTGATCAGTTTCAACAGCGGCTGAATCTGGATGCCAGGTCTGACTTACATACAGATTCAACTTAAGAAACCCAGGCGTCCCCAAGTCAACTGCTGCTGAAACTGATCAGCGGCTGATTCCAGGAAGCCTGGGGCAG